AAAATAAAAAAGCAAGAGCCGTTTTTAGCTTGTGGATAATACAAAAACAGGCTACCAGCTAGAATTTGGCCTGTGAGCTACAGCTTGCTGACCCTTGTTTTAGAAGCTGAGCTCAGACAACAAAAATGAAACTTTTCGGCTATTATGAAGTAACAGAGACTGGATTTACCTTCCTGCCTTAAACAACTAAAAGGTCAGACAAAATATATGAAGTAAGTTTTTCAGGCATTTAACAGGCAAAATAGAACAGTAAGCTCTGAGAGAAGAGAAACAAATGAGGCGAGTCCTATCATTGCCCCAGCTTACCTTCTGGAGAGTTTCCAGGCCACAATGCATACAGAGTGAACCTAAGTGGAGCCTGGCAATCTCCCAAAGTTGAGGAGATCACACCACTGCATTCCAGACTGGGGGACGGCGAGACTCCGTCTCCAAAAAAAAAAATTAGCTGGGCATGGTGGTGCTCATCTGTAATCTCAGCTACTCAAGAGACTGAGGTAGGAGAATCACTTGAACCCAGGAGATGGAGGTTGCAGTGAGCTGAGATCGCATCATTGCACTCCAGCCTGGGCAATAGAGTGAGACTCCGTCTCAAAACAAAAGCAAAAAACAGCAATAACAAATAGGGAATTTTAAAAAGATGGAAACCCATGAAAAATTTAGTCCTTGAATAGATGAGATTATAATCTTTTTTCCTACCAGTTTAATACTTTTAGAGAATTTTTAAAGAATGTTCAAAAGAATTGCACATATTTAGAAATTTCAGGTATACATTTCTGTCTGATTTTTTAAAGTCTGATTTTTGAAACGTTGAGGAAGAATAGTTGTGGAGTCCATTAGTTTGGGTTAAGTTGTATGAATTTGACTCAGGAGTTAATAGCAAGGGGTTTTTCGTTTCTCTGTGTGTGGTTTTCCTCATCATTGTTGAGCTAAAAAAAACTTAGCTTATAAGTCTTAAAGGAAAGAGTTTTGAACATGGCAAACTGACACACTGGTTGGCGTTTGGGTTTAGAACTGGAAGCCTTGAAGCAGCGTTTCTGGAAGCATGCTAATCCAGCAGCCAAACCCAGGGCTGGTCACACAGTGAATGTGAACATCATAGTGAAAGACGTGGGCACTGATGGAAAGGAAGAGCTAAAAGCAGATGTGGTACCTGTGACTTTAGCACCTAAGAAGTTGGATGGAGCAAGCCACACAAAACCAGGTATTTGAGCCCACAGGTTTTGTTTTTTGCTTTTTGCTTTGTATTCTAACAGATCTTCAAGGCTATTGAAAACCTTATAATGAAAAGTTGTAGAATCTTTTTCCTTGGAGACTTTGGACAGCAGTATCTCTGGCATGATTCACGTGTAGCACACCTAGAGGTGTGGGGTGGACAAGCTGGCTTTATTTTTTAAAAATTATCATTTGTCTTATTATTAAAAACAAATACCCATTATAGAAAAATAGATAGAATAAATGAAAAATTTAATCTTCTATCAGAGACAGGTTCTATAACCATATTGTGTATCCTTTTAAACTCTCTTCTTTGCACATATGTATATGTATTTAAACAAAAACAGGGCCAGGTGCAGTGGCAGAGGCCTGTAATCCTAGCACTTTGGAAGGCCAAGGCAGAAGGATCTCTTGAGCTCTGGAGTTGGAGACCAGCCTGGGCAACATAGTGAGCCCTAATCTCTACCAAAAAAAAAAAAAATTATCCAGGTATGGTGGCATGCACCGTGGCCCCATATACTTGGGAGGCTGAGACAGGAAGATCATTTGAGCCAGGAGGTTGAGGTTGCAATGAGTCATGATTGTGGCACTGCACTCCAGCCTAGGCGAGGCAAAACAACCCACCTAATAATGTGATCATAACATGCATTCTGCTTTGTGTTTTAGAAATGTATTAAGGACAGCTCTCACCGCCCCCCCCCCTTGAAATCACAAGTAATATATCACTTGGAAAACAGTTTTAAACATTGAAAAAAGCTATCAAATGAAAAATTAGTCTTCCCAAAGATAACTATTAACAATTTCTTCTATGTCCTTATAGGAGTATTTTTATCTGTATACCATTTTTTGTGAATGTGTGTGACATTGAACATTTACTCCCTGTCAGGCATTGCTCTAGGTTCTTTATATGTTTTATCTCATTTAATCCTTACAACCCTATGAGGTAAATAACATTAGTATCCTTATTTTGTATGTGAAGAAACTGATATGCAGAGCACTTAAGCCACTTGCTCAAGTTCACATAGCTAATAAATGGTAAGACCAGTGGTCTAATCCAGACCACCTAACTCCAGAGCTCAGGATCTACTTTATATTGCTTTTGAGGCTTTTTTAATTTTTATTTTAATAAAGAGTCTTGCACTGTTGCCCTGGCTGGAGTGCAGTGGCACGATCTTAGCTCGCTGTAACCTCCACCTCCTGGGTTGAAGCAATTCTCCTGCCTCAGCCTCCCGAATAGCTGGGATTACACCACCACGCCTAGCTAATTTTTGTATTGTTAGTAGAGATGGGGTTTCACTATGTTGGCCAGGCTGGTCTCGAACTTCTGACCTCGTGATCCACCCGCCTTGGCCCCCCAAAGTGCTGGGATTACAGGCATGAGCCACTGCGCCTGGCCTTGAGGCTTTTTTTAAAATGACTGCATAATATTCCATTGAATGAATACAACATGACTCATTAAACCATACTCTTATTGACTGATGTCTTGTTTGTTCCAATTGTTGCTGTTGCATACAGTGTTATATTATATTATAGTGCCAGATATATGGTGGTATATTAGATGCAAAATTCCTTGCAGTGGAATTGTCATGATATATATCACATTTTGATATATATCATCCAGTTGTCTTTCAGAATGGTTGTACCACTCTGAATCACAGTGTATGAGTTCCTGTTTCCTCTCAATAATAGGTATTATCAAACCTCCTAATTTTTGCCAAACTAACATGTTGAAAATGTATCTCATTATTTTGATTTGTAGCTCTTTAATTAGAAGTGAGGTTAAGCATTACTTTTAATTTGTTTATTAACAATGTATTTTTATTTTTCTGTGAACTGGCAGTTCATATCATTAGTTCATTTTACTTTTGAGTTGTTTCTCTTTTTTTCTTTCTTTTTTTTTTTGAGACGGAGTCTCACTCTGTTGCCCAGGCTGGAGTGCAGTGGTGTGATCTCGGCTCACTGCAAGCTCCACCTCCCGGGTTCACTCCATTCTCCTGCCTCAGCCTCCCGAGTAGCTGGGACTACAGGTGCCTGCCACCATGCGTGGCTAATTTTTTGTATTTTTAGTGGAGACGGGGTTTCACTGTGTTGGCCAGAATGGTCTTGATCTCCTGACCTTGTGATCCGCCCGCCTCAGCTTCCCAAAGTGCTGGGATTACAGGAGTGAGCCACCATGCATGGCCTATTTTTTTTTAATATAGGTAAATTTATCAATGTTTTTCTTCATGACTTTTGAGCCACAGACTTTTGAAGCTCTACTCCCTACCCCCCTTTTCTCTCTTTTGAACAGTTATTTTATAATCCCTGAGGAGTATACTATCCAGGGTGCAGAAATTCTCTTCGATACTTCAATTAATAATAATACTCTTGTGTTCAAATAACAAAAAGGCCCAGAAATACTAGAGTCTCAGATTTTCCTTTTGGGATGTGACTAGAATACTTCTGGAGTTACCTACAATGCATACATAATTATTGTATTATGTCTAAAGCATTTCTACATATTTCTGTTCAGGTGAAAATCTTCAGGTGCTAAAAGCTAAACTGCAAGAGGCAATGAAACTCCGAAGGTTTGAGGAGCGCCAGAAGCGCCAAGCACTGTTTAAATTAGATAATGAAGATGGATTTGAGGAAGAGGAGGAGGAAGAGGAAGAAATGACAGATGAGTCTGAGGAAGATGGAGAAGAGGAGGTAGTGAAAGAAGAGGAAGAAGAGGAAGAACTGGAGGAAGAGGAGGAGAAAGAAGAGGAAGAGGAAGAAGATGGAAATCAGGAGGTTTCTGGCAATTATGTTGTTTTGTTACCTTGTCATGGTGAATATGAGAGAAAAAGTCAGACTTATATAAGAGTATTAATAAGCATGTTCAATTGTATAAGAGGTTTTAAGGGCATGGTAAGGGTAACTACCCCACATATCCCTAAATCTTGGTATCTTCAGTTCTGTCAGTACCACTGAATATCCGTAGATCATCATTATGTATCTGAATACAGATATTCAGTGGTACTGACAGAATACCATTGCCTGGGCTTCCACCTGTTGTTTATATATTTTAATATAATAATGCTAATATTAAAAATGACTTTGTATTTGTAGGAAATTTTATGTTTGTTGTTTATTTAGGTTTCTCTATCAGATTAAAAAGCAGTCCTAACCTTGGCTAGATCAAGGTCTGGAGTAAATTCTCAGGGAGGCAGAGACCTTTCTGAGTTATTTTCATTTTTTGTTGAAGAAGGCATTTGTAGAGGGGCCTCTTGCCCTTGTTCCATAGTATTGTTTTCTGCCTAGGGAAAACAGGTGATGATACGATTGTTAAGTATTAAAAAGCTTTCCTTTTTGGGCCGGGCAGGGTGGCTCATGCCTGTAATCCTAGCACTTTGGGAGGCTGAGGTGGGCGGATCACCTGAGGTCAGGAGTTTGAGAACAGCCTAGCCAACATTGTAAAAATCCATCCCTATTAAAAATACAAAGATTAGCTGTGTGTGGTGGCACACCTGTAATCCCAGCTACTCAGGCAGGAGAATTGCTTGAACTCGGGCAGTAGAGGTTGCAGTGAGCCAAGATTGCACCACTATACTCTAGCCTGAGTGACAGAGTGAGACTCCATCTCAAAAAAAGAAAAGAAAAAAGCTTTCCTTTTTGTATGCTGGGATCACTTATTTTATTTTATTTATTTAAAGTTTTTTGAGATGAGGGTCTCACTATGTTGACCAGACTGGTCTCGAACTCCTGGCTTCAAGTGATCCTCCCATCATTGTGGCCTCCCAAGGTGCTGGGATTACAGGCATGAGCCACCACGCCCAGAAACTTGAGTTAATATTTAGTTTTGGGTAAAGGAGAAAGAAAACAATGGCTGAGCTATACAGGCTGTCTCAGTCTGTGCTTGGTTTGAGATCAGTAGTCATCCTGCAATCTTAGACTGATTAATTAACCTCTTATTGCCTCAGTAAAATGATAATCCAGTCGTCCTTTATAATCTTAGCAATTTTGGGAGGGTAAAGGATAAAAAAAATACAAAAAAGTTCTAGAAGTGTCAGGGAAAATTATGTTGATAATGGTCATATGGAACTTCCTTCAAGTTTGCCTTTTTGAATTTAAGATGTTATCAGTAACCAATCAGCCATATTTCAAGCTAACATTGTATTTGCTTTTAAAGTTTTTGACTTGTATTATTTTGTTTTGTGGTGGCATGATTGGTAAAGACTGCAGAATTCCTTCTTAGTAGTGAAGAAATAGAAACCAAAGATGAAAAAGAAATGGATAAAGAAAATAATGATGGCAGTAGTGAAATTGGCAAGGCAGTTGGCTTTCTCTCTGTTCCCAAGTCTCTCTCATCAGATTCTACTTTACTTCTATTTAAGGACAGCTCTTCCAAGATGGGGTAAGTGATTCTCTCTAAGAAAATTTAAAATTGCCTTGGATTTGCCCCTCCTGTAAAAACTAGGAACAGATACTGAACCAATTTACTTTCTTATTTTACAGTTACTTTCCTATTGAAGAAAAATCAGAAACAGATGAAAACTCAGGCAAACAGCCTAGCAAACTGGGTAAGTAGTGATTCTTGTGCAGAACTTGACATTTCTTTTGTCCCTCAGCTTTGATATTTAAGGACTGCAGTACTGTAAGTTCCCATTTTTTAAAATCTGGTCACTTCCCAGTTTCATATGTGGCAATGAAAGGGGTTTATGAATTAGAATATTTTTCTTGGTCTATTTTTTGAAAAGTTACTTGCAGTTTATTTATAGTAGACGGTGGCACATAATGGCCTTAGTGAATGTGTTTTGATTGAGTGAGCAATGAAATATTTCTATATGTAGATCAAAGGAAGATGTATAATTGATTGGATAGGCTGGGCGCGGTGGCTCATGCCTGTAATCTCAGCACTTTGGGAGGCTGAGGTGGGCGGATCACGAGGTCAGGAGACTAAGACCATCCTGGCTAACACGGTGAAACCCCATCTCTACTAAAAATACAAAAAATTAGCCAGGCATGGTGGTAGGCGCCTGTAGTCCCCAGCTACTTGGGAGACTGAGGCAGGAGAATGGTGTGAACCCAGGAGGCAGAGCTTGCAGTGATACGAGATCGCGCTACTGCACTCCAGCCTGGGCAACAGCGAGACTCCGTCTCAAAAAAAAAAAAAAAATAATAATAATAATTAATTGGATAATGAAGAGTGTGATCATAGGCATTAGGAAGGATAAGAGAAAGAAGAGAACTTTCTGCTGGGCGCAGTGGCTCACACCTGTAATCCCAGCACTTTGGGAGGCTGAGGCAGGCGGATCATGAGGTCAGGAGATCGAGACCAGCCTGGCTAACATGGTGAAACCCTGTCTCTACTAAAAAAACAAAAATTATCTGGGCATGCGCCTGTAGTCCCAGCTACTTGGGAGGCTGAGGCAGGAGAATCGCTTGAACCCAGGAGGCAGAGGTTGCAGTGAGCCGAATTCGCGCCACTGCACTCCATCTGGGGCGACCGAGCGAGACTCCATCTCAAAAAAAAAATAAGAACTTTCAAGTGTCACTTAGCTCAGAGTAATAAGCCCTGATTATATAATGCTATCTTAGTACTGTAATTTACCTTTAACTTAATGCTTTGGAACATATAACTTGAGGGGTTTGCCTATGAATTTTATCTGACAGTTTCATCCTCAACTCTTTTTCCTAAACAAATCCACCTTATTTCTGTAATCATGGACTTAAAAGGTGTTTCTCTTTCTTCAGATGAGGATGATTCATGTTCATTGCTAACGAAGGAGAGCAGCCACAATAGCAGCTTTGAGCTGATTGGCTCCACGATTCCATCCTATCAGCCTTGCAACAGACAAACAGGCCGTGGGACCAGTTTTTTCCCTACAGCAGGAGGATTCAGATCTCCTTCCCCTGGGCTATTTCGAGGTAGTTTGGTCAGCTCAGCTTCTAAGGTAAGATGGTAATGGTTTTTCTAATCTCCTCCTCTCTTTGCTTCCCACATTGCTAAATAAAGTTTGTCCTAGCCAACCAACTCCCACCACTTTGGTACTGAGCTTATGTGTGTTCAGTTTAAAAAATCCACCCCCTTTGTGTATTAAAAACAAGCTTCATCCAGTATTCTTACTTTCTTGGAGGTATTTTTCTTTATGCTTCTCATGGCTGTGTATTGTCCTCCTCAATTGCAGTTTCCTGAGAGTAGCTTAAATATTGCAAATAGCAACTTCTGTTGTTGTCATGACAATGAATGACACTTGTAAAATGTTTTGTTATTGTTTGTTTTTGTTTGGGTGCCAGAGTTCAGGGAAACTGTCTGAGCCTTCACTTCCCATAGAGGATTCCCAGGATCTGTATAACGCCTCCCCAGAGCCTAAGACACTTTTCCTAGGAGCAGGAGACTTCCAGTTCTGTTTAGAAGATGACACTCAGAGCCAACTGTTGGATGCAGATGGGTAGGTAGTTTTGTGTTTCTGTGGGTGGGAATGGTTCTGGGTACTGCTTAATTTTGTTTAAAAATAAGTAAGCTTCTGTCATTCCATCTGTGCTTTCTCTTCTGAGAAAGAGAAGGTGTACAGACCATTAGTATTACATTCTATAAGTTTGAACAAAGTCTGTCCAGAAAATAAACATAAATAGCTCTTGCTAACATTCTGGTCCTTCAATTTCTGTCTTACTTGAAATGCATAGATCTTGTATTGTAAGGTCATCAAATTTCCCTGTATCCATCCTGCTATGTTATTATTGTTGGGTAAGGCTGAGAATTCACAGACTGGTGGCACATTACAGGACATAATGCCAAGTCCTGCTCTAACATCATCTGAAGCTAAAAGTTATCCTTTATACTTTACCTTCTGAGTAACATTTTATTCTTTCACAAAACTTTTCCCTCCCTCTTTAGATTAACACAAGCCTAAAGTTTGAATCTTTTGCTTTCTGGTTTGAGATTCAGCTTTTAACTGGTGTTGGAAATGAATTCAGAGGTTTTTCACCCCCTACTTTGCCATTTCTCTGAGGAATTTTTTACACTATTCGTTGTGCTCATTGGCTCTTAGGTTCTTAAATGTTAGAAACCACAGGGATCAGTACCAAGCTTTGAAGACTCGATTGCCATTGGCCAGTATGGATGAGAATGCCATGGATGCCAACATGGATGAGCTGTTGGATTTGTGTACTGGAAAGTTTACATCTCAGACTGAAAAACATCTACCCAGGAAGAGTGACAAGAAAGAGAACATGGAGGAACTTCTGAACCTTTGTTCAGGAAAATTCACTTCTCAGGGTAAATATCCAACAGAGAGCATCAGGCTTACCACACCCAAGTATCAGTGTCCTTGAAAAGAATTCCCTGGGCGGGTGGGGTGGCTCACGCCTGTAATCCTAGAACTTTGGGAGGCTGAGTTGGATGGATCGCTTGAGCTCAGAAGTTTGAGACCAGCCTGGGCAACATGGCAAATCCCCATCTGTACTGGAAAAAAAAAAAAATTAGCTACGCATGGTGGCACGTGCCTGTGGTCCTAGCTACTTAGGAGGATCTCTTGAGCCTGGGAGGTGAAGGTTGCAGTGAGCCAACCTGGTTGTGGTTGGCTGGGACAAACTTTATTTAGCAATGTGGGAAGCAAAGAGAGGAGGAAATTAGAAAAACCATTACCATCTTACCTTAGAAGCTGAGCTGACCAAACTGCCTTGAAATAGCCCAGGGGAAGATCACACCACTGCACTCCAGCCTGGGTGGCAGAGACCCTGCCTAAAAATAGAAAAAAAGAAAGAAAGAAAAGAAGCCCCTTAACCTCAGGTGAAAAGTTCACAGAAAACAGGACTGTGATGGAATCTATATAAATTGAATTCACTACTTAGTGCCCTGACATTTAGAAATTTTACTTTCTTAGAGTGGTAAAGTATCAACTTAAGACTACTTTAGGCCATACACTGTGGCTCATGCCTGTAATCCCAGCACTTTGGGAGGCCAAGGCGGGTGGATTGCCTGAACTCAGGAGTTTGCGACCAGCCTGGGTAGCAAGGTGAAACCCTGTCTCTACTAAAATACAAAAAATTATCTGGGCCCATGCCTGTAATCCCAGCTACTTGGGAGGCTGAGACAGAAGAATTGCTTGAACCCCAGAGGCGGAGGTTGCAGTGAGCTGAGATCGTGCCACTGCACTCCAGCCTGGGCAACAGAGAGAGATTCTGTCTCAAAAAAAAAAAGACTGCTTTAGCTTTGCCCATATGATATATCATTTGTGATTAATGTATGTACAAAGTTTAGAACAGTGTCTGATGTATAATAAATTTCACATAAATGTTAACTTACTTCCTGTCCCCTGCCCCCAACGCACACAACTGCTAGACTGAACATAAGCTCTATGAGATCTGGGATAGTGGTTTGTTCATTACTGTATCCCTGGTGGCCTGGCACATATGGCACATAGTAAGCACTAAATAAGGATTTGTTGAATGAATAGATGATAGGTTCTTCTTGGCAAGCTTACCTTAGAACTGTATCGAGCTGGCATGACTTTAGATGGCTGGGAAAAGAGTATAAAGCTATCATTCCTTGGTGACACATTTTTTCCTCGTTGTGATGTAGATGCCTCCACTCCGGCCTCATCAGAGTTAAATAAGCAGGAGAAGGACAGCAGCATGGGTGATCCAATGGAAGAAGCACTTGCTCTTTGCTCAGGCTCTTTTCCAACAGACAAGTAAGTCTCAGATTGCTGGGAACTTGGGAAGGCCTGGCCTTTTGATAAAATCAAAATAACTGATCATCTTAAGGGCTTTGCACCTTTTCTGAGAATCTTGCAGTGGATTCGAGTTTCATATATGCCTAGTAAGCAAATTATAATGCTTTGGTGGAGAACAGGGTAAAAAAGGCAAGAACATGAAAGATATTTAATATCATTAATAGGGAAATACCAATTAAAACCACAGTGAGACACCCATTAAGATGACTTTAATCAAAAAACCTAAAGAGTGTTAGTGAGAATGTGGAGAAATTGGAAACCTTGTGTACTATTGGTGAGAATGTAAAATAGTGCAGCTGCTAGGGAAAGTATGATGGCTTCTCAAAAATTAAAAATAGAGGCCAGGTGTGGTGGATCACCTGAGGTCAGGAGTTTGAGACCAGCCTGACCAACATGGTGAAACCCTGTCTCTACTAAATACAAAAAATTAGCTGGGCATGGTGGCACATGCCTGTAATCCCAGCTACTTGGGAGGCTGAAGCAAGAGAATTGCTAGAACCCGGGAGGCAGAGGTTGTAGTGAGCCAAGGTCATGCCATTGCACTCCAACCTAGATAATAAGAGCAAAACTGTGTCTCAAAATAAATAAATAAATAAATAAAATAAAAATAGAATGACCATATGATCCAGCAATTTCACTTCTTAGTCTATACCCCAAAAAAGTGAAAGCAGGACTTGAACAGATGTTTGCACCCCCATGTTCAAAGCAGCATTATTCACAGTAAGTAGTCAAAACATGAAAGCAACCTATGTTTATTGACAGATGAATGGGTAAACAAAATGCGGTATATATATATATGCAATGGAATATTCAACCTTAAAATGGAAATGCTGGCTGGGCATGGTGGCTCACACCTGTAATCCCAACACTTTGGGAGGCTGAGGTGGGTGTATCACTTGAGCTTAGGAGTTTGAGAGCAGCCTGGGTAATATGGCAAAACCCCATCCCTATAACATGATTGTGCCACTGCACTCTGGGCATCAGAGTAAGACCCTGTCTCAAAAAAAAAGGAAGTTCTGACACTTGCTACAACATGGATGAACCTTAGGATGTTATGCTAAAAGAAATAAGCCAGTCACCAAAAGACAAATACTGTATGAGTCCACTTACTCATGAGGTACTTAGAGCAGTCAAATGCATAGAGACAGAAGGTAGAATGGTGGTTGCCACAGACTGAGGGTATGGGGAAATGGAGAGTTTAATGGATATACAGTTTTAGTTTTGCAAGCCGAAAAGAGTTCTGGAGATTGCTTAACAATATGAATGTACTTAATACTACTGAACCATAGAAAGATCGTTAAAAAGGCAAATTTTATATTATGTGTATTTTACTACAATTGAAAATTAAAAAAATTTTCTTCCTGTTTTGAAGAGATTTTTGGTGATAATAGAAGTTTTAAATTTGGCCAGATGAGGTGTCTCATACCTAGAATCCCAGTACTTTGGGAGCCCAAGGCGAGCAGATTGCTTGAGCCCAGAATTCAAGACGAACCTGAGCAACATGGTGAAATCTATCTCTACAGAAAATACAAAAATTAGCTGAGCATGGTGGCTTTGTACCTCTAGTCCCAGCTACTCAGGAGGCTGATGTGGGAGCATCACTTGAGCCCCGGAGGTGGAGGTTACAGTGAACTGAGATGGTGCCACTGTACTCCAGGTGGTGTAAGAGACCAAGACCGTCTCAGAGAAAAAAAAAAAAAAATTACACAAAATTTTTTTAAATTCCTAACTTGGCTGACTACTTGTAGTTTGCTTTCAACAACTTATTTATTGATTCATTGATTTACATTTTAGGGAAGAGGAAGACGAGGAGGAGGAATTTGGAGACTTCCAGCTCGTCTCAAATGATAATGAGTTTGATACTGATGAGGTGAGTATGAAGGGAACAAAGTAATCATAACTGAACTCCATGTATTGCTGCCCTTAAGTGTCTTTTTCCCCTCAGTTCTTGAGAATTCTAAATTTGGCATCTTATCAGAAACAATTTCGTAGAATGAGGTGTTTGGGCAGATGTTTATAAATCCTTTTTTTATGGAGGACACATTTTATTCTGCTTAATTTGGATATGATGCTGATTTTGTAGGATGAACACAGTGACTCTGGTAATGAAGACCTGGCACTGGAAGACCATGAAGATGATGATGAAGAAGAACTCCTGAATCGATCTGAGAAGTTGAAAAGGCAAATGTAGGTGTTATTAATATGTCCATTCCTTCAGGTGTATTTAAAAGTTGGTCACTAGGCCAGGCATGGTGGCTTGCGCCTGTAATCCCAGCACTTTGGGAGGCTGAGGCAGGTGGATCACCTGAGGTCAGCAGTTCAAGACCAGCCTGGCCAACATGGTGAAACCCTGTCTCTACTAAAAAATATAAAAATTAGCAAGATATGATGGCAGGCGCCTGTAGTCCCAGCTACTCGGGAAGCTGAGGCAGAGAGAATTGCTTGAACCCAGGAGGCGGAGGTTGCAGTGAGCCGAGATTACACCACTGCATTTCAGCCTGGGTGACAGAGCAAGACTCTGTCTCAAAAAAAAAAAAAAAATAGTTGATCCCTTAATATGTCCTGTGTGCTAATAACTGTGCTTTACAGTCATTAACATATTATCTTATGCTGGGTGCAGTGGCTCAGGCCTATAATCCCAGAACTTTGGGAGGCCAAGGCAGGCGTATCACTTGAGGTCAGGAGTTTGAGACCAGCATGACCAACATGGTGAAACCCTCTCTACTAAAAATACAAAATACAAAATAAAATACAAAAATTAGCCAGGTATGGTTCCAGG